ATAGATAGATAGATAGATAGATAGATAGATAGATAGATAGATAGATACATACAATCTTTGAAAATAAAAAATCTTTTGCCTCCTGGGAGGCATTCACATGGTAGACCCAGATCAATCACCTGGATGAGGCTAATAATCTTTCCTGTGGCAGCAACCTTAGAGACTTCCTAAGGGTCCCATCTCGACGAAAGACAAAATGTGATTTTCTTTTTCTTTCTTTTTTTTTTCTTTTTGTTTTGTTTTGTTTTTCGAGACAGGGTTTCTCTGTGTATTCCTGGCTGTCCTGGAGCTCACTCTGTAGACCGGGCTGTCCTCGAACTCAGAAATCCGCCTGCCTCTGTCTCCCAAGTGCTGGGATTAAAAAAATGTGATTTACATACTGTATGTTAAGATAATGCCCTTTTAAATCTTGCTAGTCTATGGGTTCTCTGAGCTGCTTGAGGTAGACATGCCAGGGTTTCAGTCTTTCCGGTCCAGCAATCATGAGCTTGTCCTTCAAGCCACTGCAAGGACTGTGGTCCTAGGCAGGCTTCCAGTGTCTTAGTTCTGGAGTTTGGCTGTAGGAGTGAATGTTAAGAGAAGCGGGGATTTGAGAGGCGTGGCCTTGGCCCTGAAAGCACCTGTATCTTTCAGTGTCTCATCATTGGAGCTGGCCCGTGTGGGCTCCGCACAGCCATCGACTTGTCCTTGTTGGGAGCCAAGGTGGTGGTTATAGAAAAGCGAGATGCCTTCTCCCGCAACAATGTCTTACATCTCTGGCCCTTCACCATACATGATCTTCGAGGCCTGGGTGCCAAGAAATTCTACGGCAAGTTCTGTGCTGGAGCCATCGACCATATCAGTGAGTAGCACCAGCCCTTCCTGCTTCTGTTGTCCAGTAGGTTAGGTGAGGGATTGCTCCTTGTCCAGTGTTTGTACCCGCTGCCCTCGTCTATAACCTGGCTTCTTAACCTCAAGTGAGTCCCATGTACAAAAGGAGTTAAAGTTTGGTTTAAAGACCCTTAGTTGGGGGCCAGGTAATGGTGGCGCACGCTTTTAATCCCAGCACTCAAACAGATTCTGAGTTCAAGGCTAGCCTATTCTACAGAAGGAATTCCAGGACAGCCGGGACTGCACAGAGAAACCCTGTCTCCACAGATTTTTGGTTGGGTCTCGGACTCTTGCTGAGTACCCATGGTATGTGCAATTCAGTGGAGGGGGAAGGGTGGGCATTGAGAATAAGGTGGACAGTTTGGATTTGAATCCTCTGATGGTTCTTAGTTCAGTGGAAGAAGTGCACAGGTGTTGACACTGCATTGTGATCCTATACTCCCTTCACAATGCCATGGGGACATAGAGTAGGCAGACAGTGCCATGGGGACAGACCTGGAAAACCATACACACATAAGTTAGAGTCATGGCTTGGACACATATGCCAACTCCACAGTGAGAGTCTGTGTTAGGTGATGAGTGAACTCTGGGCCTTGTGTTTGTCTAAGACATGTCATAACTGTAAATGCTCAAACTGAAACCGGTTTGGAACAGTGTCTGTATCATCAAGCTAGAGAAATCTTTTTCCTGTCATTAAATAGTCAGGGAAATGTTAGTATGGAGCTTTTGTTCTGAGCTCCTCCATATGTGACCTGGAAATACGCTCAGCCATTAGACCTTTTTTTGCTGTTTGAAGTGGTTATACCAATTTATCCAACACTAGCTGGCGGCTGTCACATTCCACTGGCAAGAGGGAGTGCTCGGCCCATCTGCCAGGCTGTAATTTGTAAAGCATCTCAGAACCCACAGTTGTCTACAAAAATAAAGTGTGCGCTAGCTCGGGGCTCAGTGGGTCTTTGGGATTGTGACTCAGAATAGCGAGGATATGGTCATCTGAGGAGAGGAGAGGAACAACCAGGGTGACTTAGCAGGGGATTTGCGAGTGCTCCTAGCTCGTTAGTCACAGGCTGCAGGTAAATTTGGCCTTAAGAGAGGACCAAGGGTCGTTGACTGATTGGATTTTTAGTCCTCATCTGTGGCCAGATTTATTTTAGGGCAGATAGTATCTTAGATCAGAGACAGGATTTCTGTCTGTCACCTGGCATTGGTTCCAGATCTGGTGGGGACCCATTAGACGTCATATGTGTTTATTACTGTGACAACGAACAGGATTGTCAGCCCTTTTGGACCTCAGTTTCCATATCTGTAAGTCACCATTGGTGGGGATAGGATGTTTCTTTTTGTGTGTGTGTGTGTGTGTGTGTGTGTATCTGGTAGGAATATGTGAGGTCAGCAAGAGGTTAGGGTGGAAGGCAGATGCTGTGGAATGCTAGCAGTGGGCACACCTCTCCTGTGGCTTATAGTACCAAGATTTCTCTGAAGACTGTGTGGTAACAGTGACTCTCACTGGACCCAGGAAATAGAAGAGTGATTCTCCTTGCCCACAGTTCTGTGTTGTCTCTATAGTTGTGTCAGGTCATTCGGAATACCCGGTTCCCGAAGCAGGGTGGCCTAGTATATCCAGAATGGTTCATCCACTGTTTGACGTTTCCTTTACAATGTGGAGAAATAAATGAGAACTTCTGAGACATGTCTCTGCTGTGACAGCCTTTGGGAACCTAAACTGAGGTGGACGGGCGGGCACCTGAGTGTGAGCACCCTTTGCCCTCGCTGTCAAGAGCTCTGTTCTTCTAGGTATCCGTCAGCTCCAGCTAATCCTCTTGAAGGTAGCCTTGATCTTGGGCATTGAGATCCATGTCAATGTGGAATTCCAAGGACTTGTTCAGCCTCCTGAGGACCAAGAGAACGAACGTGAGTTGCACTGGATGGAGGAGGGGAGTGGGTGAGCACAGCTGAGATCACAGGAGGAGCCAGAAGGACTTGCAGGTGCTTTCAGTACTTACTAAGAGGGGCTTTGTTCATGCAGCCTGGGCTTTACTGGACTTTCAGGTTACCTGAGAGGCCTTTGGCACGGTATTAGGCATGGTGGGCATTTGTATTATAAAAAAATTCCGAGGTAAAGAAAGTCTTTGTGAGCTCTTGTCAAAGTTTCCTGCCTGAGGCTGCCCCTTGTACTTTGCATAGTATTGTGGCTTGGGACTTGGTGTGATCTTCATGTCTGGGTATGACTTAGTCTGGGTTATGACCTTCGTTTCACTTTTGGCCCACAGGGATAGGATGGCGAGCATTGGTGCACCCCAAAACTCATCCTGTATCAGAATATGAATTTGAAGTGATCATCGGTGGGGATGGGCGTAGGAACACCTTGGAAGGTACTGGCTTCCACCTACTCTCCTTTGCCTGGCTTTTCACAGACTGGAGGCTGACTTGTCCCAGAGACCACACTCCTAAGAGATTGCAAGTGTGTTGCCCAGTCAGTGCCTGCAAGGATATTTCTCACAGGACACTAGGACATTGAGCTGTGCTCAAAGATATTCATGCCACAGACTCTAGTCCATACACAGATGTGACAGGCACACAGCACCCCTCCACATTAAGGGTAACCTTTAGTCCTGAGTAATAATCTGGTAGTTAGGATTTCATGTTGTCCCTGATAATGGGAGGGACTTTTTGCGTGGATTACCCGTTGTCAGTGATAATGGAAGGGCTTCCTGCATGTATTGTTCCCTTATTCCTATTAGGTGAGCAGCCTACTTTTCCCTGACTCTGGCCCCGCCCCCATATTCTCTCATTTGAAGACCCAACCCCTTCTCTCTCTCCCTGTAGGATTTCGTCGAAAAGAATTTAGGGGCAAGCTAGCCATTGCCATTACAGCAAATTTTATCAACCGCAACACAACCGCAGAGGCCAAAGTAGAGGAGATCAGTGGCGTGGCTTTTATATTCAACCAAAAATTCTTCCAGGAGCTGAGAGAAGCTACAGGTTGGTGCACACTGCTGCTGTCCTGTGTCAGTCCTCAGCACTGTTTCAGGCCTGCTCTGGGGTTGACTTTGTTTGTTTTGCCTTCTGCCAACTCATCCCCACCCCCTTCCCCTTACTGCATAAGCCATGTTTGCTGCTGGATGGGCAGGCTGCTCTCTGGCAGCTCTGGTTTTGTTGACATTCTGACCTTTGGTATCACTGTTGGCCTTCCCTAAGGTCATCTGGGATCACCAGCAACCATTGCTAGTCAGGAATGGGCTTTTGTGTAACTGTTTTCTGATGGATTGAGTTAGGCATAGATTTAGATATTTTGCTGCAATAAAACAACAACAACAAAAGAAGGTATCTTCATTATGTTTTTTAGAGCTTGGTTTCTTTCCATTCCTTGTATCTTTCACGTTAACTGAATAGAAATTCAGTATTTGTCTGTCTGCATTTAGGCATCTATCTTGTTAGAAATCTAGGTCATTCCTCTATCATCCTTGGTTATCACAGAGGTTTTACCTGGTAAACAAACCATCCCTTCTTGTAGACTGGCCTCTCCTTTGTTGTGCTTTTCCTGTTCTGGTGTCTTTGTTTAATGCCTAGTGAGTTATAGGGCAGCACAAAAGAAAACAAACCTCCCAGGTTCCATGCACTGTGCAGGAAGTGAGGGTCTGAGCCTAGACAGCTTTCCTTTCAGATGCTCTGCCGCTCTTTCCCAGGCCCCGCCTTGCGGATCCCCTGATGCCACAGTCCCCATGAGTTCTCACACGTCTGTCTTCTGCTTGCAGGTATTGACTTAGAGAACATCGTCTACTACAAAGATGACACACACTACTTTGTCATGACGGCCAAAAAGCAGAGTTTGCTGGACAAAGGGGTGATACTGCATGTGAGCACTGGATTCCTTTCAGGCAACATTTTTTGTTGAACCACTTGATTACGATCACTGAGAAGAATTTTATATTCTGATGTTTGTTTGTTTGTTTTCCCTGTAAGGGAATAAAAATGACACTGAACACATCTGGAAACCGATGCTACTTATTAGTTTAATTTAAAACTATTCTTGTTATCAAGAATTGAAACTATAAAGAGGAGGGGGAGGAGAGTAGAAAGGGCCTTTGTGGCCATGATTATGTTAGCTCAAATGGTTACCAGCACGGCCAATATTGTTTGAATAAGCCCAACCTCTTCCTTTTTTCCCCTCCTGCTTGGCGATTTGTTTTAGAGCAACTGGCAGCTGTCACATCATGTATAATTAGCCAGTTTAACTTTAGTTAGTCTGATTTACAGTTATAGCAAATTATATAACCAAAGGCCTTGCATATTGCTAGCCAAGAACTCTGCCACCAGCTGCCTCCTTAGACTTTTTTTTTTTTTTTAAGAACTATTTCTTTTGAGACAAGCGATTACTAAGTGGCTCTGTCTGACCTTGAAATAGCTTCATAGCCCAGGCAAGCCTTGAACATGGAGGCATCCTACCATAGCTTCTGAATGGCTGAGACTATATGCCAGCCCCACCAGGCCCTGCCTTCATAGGTCCTCTTTCAGAGAGTGGGATATTGAATCAAGAAGCAGCACTTGAAGTTTACAACAGCCTGACAAAGACTTGGGTTTTACCACAGATGTGGTTACTAGAGGTCCAGGGAACACTGACCTGAGCAGACCGGGGTATATTCTAGGCCTTTTCTTTCTTTCTTTCTTTTTCTTTTTTTAAAAGATTAATTATATATATATGAATACCCTGCTGCTGTCTTCAGACACACCAGAAGAGGGCATCAGATCTCATTACAGATGGTTGTGAGCCACCATGTGGTTGCTGGGAATTGAACTCAGGACCTCTGGAAGAGCAGCCAGTGCTCTTAACCGCTGAGCCATGTCTCCAGCCCCTCAAGGCTTTTTCTAATTGACAGCAAAGACCTGTTGTCTATCTTTAGCCAGTTCCAGCTCAACCCTCTTTCTGGGTGACTAATTGTATAATATCCCTGAGCTGAAGACTTGAAATCTAAATCACAGCTCGGCTCCTTAAGGAGCGTAGCTTGCTCTCACTTGGCTCTCATCGAACGTGATGTGAGAATTACTGTCTCCGTGCCATGAATGGATAGAAGAGGCTTCAAATGCGCTGACCTGGCCCTGTGCAGTTCCCACCAGCCTCAGAGCTGACTCTTAGGGAGCCCTTTGTGTCTGCAGGACGGTAGCACATCAGGCCTCTTAGAATGACTCACACTACGGCTTTATCTAGAGCAGACTGGAGAGAGAGCTGACAAGCACGTGCTTGCGACACAAAGTCTCCTTTCCACAGCGACCGTCGTTGTGTCTTCATGGCAGCATGGCAGCCCAGTGGTGTGCAGGGAGCAGCAAGACAAAGGATACAGAGTACCCTGGCAAACAAAAGCCAGGCGTGTTTGGCTAAGTGCTTTATACAGCTAGTTCATTATCTGGGGCTCTTCTGTTGCCATTATTACCACAGGTGGGATGCCTGAGGACAGAGTTAAGACTCAAATCAACCATCCACACAGAGCTGAGTTTTCAGTTAAAATTGAATAAGAACAATCTGGGCTGCAAAGCTGCAGAGGTCAGAGTTATACTTTTGTAGTGTAAGGGACTCATCCTGCGAACTACTGAATTCACGGTGGCCACTTAACATTGCACAAACAGTATCTCCATGACCGTCTTCGTTCTCTGTGTTTGGCTTATCGTTGTAGCTGGGTCCTGTTAGGGGTACTTGGGACCCATCGGCCCCTCTTTAGGGGTGCAGGCTCGACTTTACATGGAAAGCCCATTTTGTGTTATTGTCCTTTATGTTTGTTTGCTGGTGGATTTCCATAGAGCCTTGCAGAGTCCTCTATGATTTGGAAACCTCTGGTTCATTTTGAACGTGGTCCATCTCAGCTTCTGGACCTGCTCTTGCTCTACACGGTACTTCTCCGTGCACTAAAGCTTTCAGGTTTCCTTTTGGATGTGATAAGTCCGAATTTCTTGCTACCATAAGCTATCAGACCCCCCCAGATTAAAGTGATCATGGGAAACACCCTAAACTTGATATTTGATATTGTAACAACTCTTGAGATAGATGGGTCAGGATTGCAGTAGATTTGTTCCTAGTGAGTAGAAAAGCCAAGTCTGTTTAGGCAGCAAAACTGATTCGCTCCTAACCAACACACCCACTCCCCAATACCTTTTCCTTTTAATTGGTATAAAAGATTCTGTTTAGGATTGAAAAACATGGTAGGGAGGAAAGCACCACGAGACAAGGCCATGTTTGATGTTTATTGTGGGGCTCTAGCTGGCCAACTGGGCATCCCTGCTTGGGCTGCTCCATCTTGGCTTTCTCCCTTCCTGGACAGGACTACACAGACACGGAGCTGTTGCTATCCCGAGAGAATGTGGACCAGGAAGCCCTGCTGAACTATGCCCGGGAGGCTGCAGACTTCTCTACCCAGCAGCAACTGCCTTCTCTGGATTTTGCCATCAATCACTACGGGCAGCCAGACGTCGCCATGTTTGATTTTACCTGCATGTACGCCTCTGAAAATGCTGCCTTGGTACGGGAACAGAACGGACACCAGTTACTAGTAGCTTTGGTTGGGGACAGCCTCCTGGAGGTGAGTACTGAAAGCGTCAGAGAATAACTAAGTGGTAGATAGAGGCCGAGGTAAAGAGGCGGTAGTGGAGAGGAGTGAGTCTAGGTGTCCAGGGGTGAGGGTGAGTAGACACACCCTTGCAGGAGTTGCACCAGCAACAAGAAAAGATGATGGGCCATTGGGATGCTGAATTGCTTCCCTCCTTTAATAGCTGAGTTACTTGAACTCTTGTGTCTCTTTCCTTTGCAGCCTTTCTGGCCAATGGGGACAGGAATAGCCCGGGGCTTTCTGGCTGCTATGGACTCTGCCTGGATGGTACGAAGCTGGTCTCTGGGCACCAGCCCCTTGGAAGTCCTGGCAGAAAGGTAATGGGAATAAGCCATGGGTGCCTCTTACAGGACTTGGGAGTTGGCCTTGTGCAAGTTCTTCCTCCCTCTTGGTTTTTATTCTGTTTTTAAAGGTGCTTTCTTGTCTGATTAGAAGAAAAGCAAGGTATTGTTTTATAAAATCACAGGAACCTCAAGGTCATCTGCCCATTGACTGGTCCTGATTTCTTTCCAATGATTATGTGAGCAAACGCACAGAAGCAGCATGCTGGCAGCCAGCATAGCAGTGGGGTTAGCAACTAGAAGTGGCCAGCTGAAAGGGAAACATCAGCACGCCTGTGAACATCTGCTCCCCTGAGTATCAGGGCTTTGGAAGGAGATGATTGTGAATGAGGCCTGGACACAAGGGCTTACTTGCTGGTTTCCTTGACCAGGAGAAACGGTTGCGTGAGATTTCCTGGATGAAACTGACCATTGATAGGATTCTATGTCTTCGTTACTTTTTTATATTATTGTGGCAAAACATCATGACCAAGGCAGCTTATAGAAGAGAAAGTTTATTTGGGGACTTACAGTTTCAAAAGACCATCATGGCAAGGAAGATGGTGGCAGGCAGGCAGGCAGGCAGGCAGGCAGGCAGGCATGGCACTGGAGTAATAGCTGAGATCTCATATCTGGTCCAGACGCAGGAAGCAGAGAGAGGGAGCTAAAAAGGAATTTCAAGGGCTTTTGAAACCTCAGCGTCCACTCCCAGTGACACACCTCCTCTGACAAGGCTCCCGGTCCCTCCCACACAGTTCAGCAGCTGGGATGAAGTATTCAGGCATATGAGCCTTTGAGGACCACATTTCGCTCCCCACACCCCCATAGTTTTCTGACTACATCGTAATGCATAATGTATTTAGTCCCCCTATAATGTCTATGGCTCAACACTGTTTATAAGTCGCAGTCTCTTCTGAGACTCAAGGCAATCTCTTAGTTGTCAGCCTCTATAAAATCAAAAAGCAAATGACATGCTTCAAATACAATGGCACAGAATATACACTACCATTCCAATATGGCAGAATGGGGGGTATGGTGCGGAAATATTGGGCCGAAGCAAGACAGAAACCCACGGGCGAGCTCCAAATCCTGTAGTTCCATGTCTGATGTCCAAGGGTCCGGAAGGCTCCGTCCTGCCAGCTGTGCTACCTGCAACACGCTGGGCTAGTTACGCTTCCTGTGTGCCGCTCTCCCTGGCAGACATCCCAAGGGTCCATCCCTTCCATTATCCTGGGATTTCAGCACAATGAGCTTCACGTTCAGAGCTTCACACTGCAGCCCCTTGCGGCCTCCATTCAGGGACTTCCCTGCAATACGCTTGGGCTCAACGGTTCTCCTTAACCATAATGCCTTTACCCATACATCCTTCATGCCTCCAAAGCCTGAACTCAGGGGCTGCTGTTTCCAAGTTCGGCTGCCCACTTAGGATGGAGCCCGACCCTTGCTTCAGTCACATTTGCAGCAGTTTTAGCTCACTGTTGCTTACAGTAGTAGGAGAACTGTAAGCCCTTTCCTCTCACCAACTGCAGGGTAACCGTGTGGACCTCACCACACCATGCCCCTTTCTCCACTTCCCAGCAGGCCTCTCTCCATCTCTTTCAGCACAAGCCTTGATGCCAACATTAAATTTCCTTGTGCCTATATTCTCCTCAAACTGTACATTTTGGGTTTTTTTTTTGGCCCCCTTGCTTTCTTTTATCATGGACTTGCATAAAAATGGTTGATAATAACCATGTGACAGAGTCATTATTAGGCTATCTTGGAATATCTTCTGCCAGCAAAATCAGTCTCAGACTCTTCAGCCTTAAGACAAAGGCAAAAAGCAGCCACTTTTTTTTCCCTCCCAAAGTATCTCAAGAATGGATTTTTTAACCTGGTTGCTAACATTATTCTCTCCTGAAACCCTTTGGGCTGGGCCTCCATAATACACATTGTTCTAAGTGCTGTTGTCTTCTAAACTCCTACCTGGATGGCCTGTGAGGCCATGCTCACAGTGTTCAGATGCTTCCCTAGTCCAGAGTCCCAAAGCCTTCCATAATTCCCCCCAAAATCAGCAGTCAGGCCCGTCAAAGCAATACCCTACTCCTGGTCCTAACTTCTGTCTTAGTTTGCATTACTTTTGCTATGATGAACCAGTGCATCTTGGGGTTTATTTGGCTTACACTTCCATATCTCTCTTCATCATCAAAGTCTGGACAGGAACTCAAGCAGGGCAAGAACCTGGAGGAAGGAGCTGATGCAGAGGCCATGGGTGCTACTTATTGACTTGTTCCCCATGGCTTGCTCAGCCTGCTTCCTTTCCTTTCCTTTCCTTTCCTTTCCTTTCCTTTCCTTTCCTTTCCTTTCCTTTCCTTTCCTTTCCTTTCCTTTCCTTTCCTTTCCTCCCCCCCTCTCTTTTTCTTTCTTTCTTTCCTTCCTTCCTTCCTTCCTTCCTTTCTTTCTTTCTTTCTTTCTTTCTTTCTTTCTTTCAA